CTGGCTATTTACTTACAAGTTTGAAATAGGAGAGGCTTGTTTAGAAAGATGTGGAGAACCTGGATTGATGTCTGGTCCCTCTCATTCCCCGAGAACGATTTGTTAGTCTCTAAGGTGCCACAAGTCCTCCTGTTCTTCTTTTTAAGGAAAAGTTATTTACTTATTCCCATAATACAAGAACTAGGGGTCACCAAATGAAATTAATAGGCAGCAGGTTTAAAACAAATACAAGGAAGTTCTTCTTCATGCAGCGCACAGTCAACTTGTGGAACTCCTTACCGGAGGAGGTTGTGAAGGCTAGGACTATAACAGAGTTTAAAAGAGAACTGGATAAATTCATGGTAGTTAAGTCCATTAATGGCTATTAGCCAGGATGGGTAAGGAATGGTGTCCCTAGCCTCTGTTTGTCAGAGGATGAAGATGGATGGCAGGAGAGAGATCACTTGATCATTACCTGTTAGGTTCACTCCCTCTGGGGCACCTGGCATTGGCCACTGTCGGTAGACAGGATACTGGGCTAGATGGACCTTTGGTCTTACCCGGTACGGCCGTTCTTACGTTCTTATGTGAATCACATGCCCTTTTCTAAAGATGGAATTATTGCTGCCAACGTGACATTGCAAAATTTGAGTTTGCGAATGAAGAAGTTGAGGTGCTGGAGGTTGAGTTTTGAAGGGCTGGGGCAAGCTCAGCACACAGATCCAGGAATGTGGCCTTGAGCATCCAGAAGTTCTGCAGTCACTGCTTATCATCCCAAACCTGCATTACGATGTGATCCCATCCGTCATGCTTCTTTCTCAGGCCCAGAAGTGGTGCTCCACCATATGCAGCTGCACTGTGAGCACCATCAACAACCTGGAATTTGTTCTCGCTATGTCCCAGAGCAATCAGTCCTCCAAGGCATCATCATGTTCCCTCCCCACTCATTCAGCTCTTCTTGCAGCTCTGCAAATACTCCAGAATCATGCGCGCTGTGCTTGCAATGCTCATGACAACAGTGCAGAGCTGTGCAAGCTCAATGCTTCTGTCAGAGATGACAGACAGCGAATGAGGAGGGCCACACGAGTTTGTGGGATTTTGAAAAAAGGCGCAAAAATTATAGTATACAGATAATGTTACAGGATGGAGTCAGTTGCAAAATGGGAAGTTGACCCCATGTTCCCGGTCACCCCGCATAACCCATTTTGGCCCCATCATGCATTGCCAAAACTTCCCAAAAGACAATGTGTTGGAAGGTGGCGAGTTGCACAGTGTGATGTACCTACCAATGATACATCACACTCTGCAATAATATGCGCACTGCCAACACAAGAAGCTAAGCATGCACACGTAAAGCGATGTACTAATTGCGGCGGTATGCCAACGTAACTTGAGTCAGCATAACTTTGTAGTGTAGACATGGCCTAACCATGGTAGAATCAAAACAATGGAAAGCCATGTTCACAGACGGGGAGAGGAAGCCCACAAGAAGGAAGGAACAGCATGAGGTCAGCTTGCTGGTGGACACAGCAAGCTGAACACACAGGAGGGCTTCCTGCCTCCTGAAGAAAGATCATTAAACTTTGGGAGATATAAACAAGGACAGAAAGCCATTTTAGGAACCCATCACAAGACAGACACAAGAGAGCAGAGCTCTCATGAGCTGAGAAAGATGGGTCCTTCAACCAAGGTGGCCCTGAAATCTCTAGGAACTGAATACAGGGGACAAACCTGCTTAAACAAAGATTGTACCTTTCTAGATTAAGTTTTAGATTTTTAGAAGTGTATTTTGTTTTGGTTTTACTTGTAACTCTTTCTATCTTCATTCCTTATACTTGAACTGACTTAGTCCTATGTATATTTTGTTAATACATTTATTTCATTTTTACCATAACCCAACTCAGAGCTGTGTTTAAAGGGCAGGGTGTATTTACACTCAGTCAAGTTAACAAGTTGTGATGTGTTCTGTGTCTGTAGAGGAACAAACAAACCATATATGTCTCTCAGCTGTCCAGGAGGGGGCTGGACATTGCAGAGCACACACCTCTGGGGAAATTCGGTGCTGGGAGTGTGTTGGGATCACCTTGTTGGTTGTAACCCAGGCTGGTGGAAGTTAGCGTGAGGCAGCAGGACTGTAGACAGGCTGCTGGGGTCAGAGCTGCTGAACCAGGGCTGTCTAGCACACAGATACTCATCAGGATGTGACCTGCAGGCTGCTAGGCTGCTTGTGCGGGAGCTACAACACCAAAGCTTTGTGAGGTGCCCAGGGTTACAGGGCAGGTGGTGACACAGTCCCTCATTGGTCTGGATTTGTACCCCAGAGCGTGACAGGTCCCTGTACCTGGATGCAGATGATGGCTGTAGGGTCAGGGGTGGGACTTGGAGGGCTCATGAACTTGGATGCAGATGGTGGGCATGGGGAAGGAGGCAAGAGTTAGGGAGGCCCATGTACCTGGGTGAGGATGATAGCCCAGGGGGGGCAGGTTTTGGGGGCCCATGTACCTGGATGTGGATGATGGTCATGGGGGTGGTGGGTTTGGGGGGCCCTTGTACCTGGATGCAGATGCTAGCCCTGTGGGGGGAGTTGGGAGGCCATGTACCTGGAGGTGGATGATAGCCCTGGGGGGGAGTTTGGGGGGCCCATGTACCTGGAGGTGGATGATAGCCCTGGGGGAGATTTGGGGGGCTCATGTACCTGGAGGAGGATGATAACCCTGGGGGGGATTTGGGGGGCCCATGTACCTGGATGCAGATGATAGCCCTGTGGGGGGAGTTGGGGGGCCCATGTACCTGGATGCGGACAGTGGCTGCTGTACTGCGGGGCTCCGTGCCCCGGTCACTGGCTGTCACAGTGAAGATGTACTCGGCCCGGTCGGTTCGGCGCAGCACAGTGGCTGTACGCAGCTCCCCCGTGGCCATGTGCAGTGTGAAGCGCTCGGCCCAAGCCCCTGTGGAGAGAAGGGGAGATGCTGTTGCATGGGTCAGAGCAAGTTAGACATGGTGCGGGGCAGGCTTGGGGAATGATGGGAGTGTGCATGTGTGTTTGTGGGGAGGTCAGGACCATAATAAATAAATAAATAAATAAATAATAATTGCCCTAGGCAAGTGACTGGAGGTGATGGTGCCATACCGCTTGCCCTCTTTCCCCCATTACCTGTTAGTGAGTAGAAGATGGTCCCGTTCTCACCCTCGTCTGGATCCTTGGCCTGCAGGGAGGCGACCAGCAGCCCTGATGGCTTCTCCTCCAGCACCTGTCACACAGAGAGGGGAGATGGAGACAGCACAACAGCCAGCACCCAGGCCCCGCAACACAGAACCCATAATCCTCTCACCACAGCCACCTCCCCAGCAGAGCCCATACAACCATACAGCCCCATAGATCCCCCAAGACACAGAACCCATACCCCATTCCACCAAACAGCCCCACAGATCCCCCAAAACACAGAACCCATATCCCCCATTCCACCGCACAGCCCCACAGATCCCCCAAGACACAGACCCCATGCCCCCCATTCCACCGCACAGCCCCACAGATCCCCCAAGACACAGACCCCATATCCCCCATTCCACCGCACAGCCCCACAGATCCCCCAAGACACAGACCCCATATCCCCCATTCCACCGCACAGCCCCACAGATCCCCCAAGACACAGACCCCATTCCACCACACAGCCCCACAGATCCCCCAAGACACAGACCCCATAACCCCATTCCACCGCACAGCCCCACAGATCCCCCAAGACACAGACCCCATAACCCCATTCCACCACACAGCCCCACAGATCTCCCGAGACACAGACACTATACCACACAGCTCCACAGATCCCCCAAGACACAGACCCCATAATCCTCCCGGCACAGACCCCTACATCCCTCTAGCACAGACCTCCCAACACTCCACACTCCTCCCAGCACAGACCCCCGTAACCTCCACCCTACAGCACAAACCTCAGAACCAACTGTCTTCCTAAGCAAGGGCCAGTCGTTATAACAGGGCCTACAAATGTACCTTAACTGTGAGTTCAACTTAGTAAAGACTGAGTGAAACTTTATTAAGTGCCAAAATAACCTATAATAACAAATGTTGATGGGAAAAGAGACAGAAAGACTGGAAATGTCCACACAGAAAGGGTGTCACTGATACCACTCAAGGATCGTGTCAAGATTATGACTGATATACAGGAGGAGTAGAGGACCTGAAATCAATGAATCAAAATTATTGTGTCAGAAATTAGGCCTATTGGTGGACAAAATTATGAGAGGATGGACTGTTCCATCCAACACTCCTTTTTGGGGGTCTTAAAAGTAAAAGACTTCTGGGAAAAGATAGCAGAAGAAGCCACTGTCTGCCAACAACTGCTGCAGCGAGCTTTATCATCATGATAGATTTCATGACTCTAAAGAAAGGAAGGAGTGAGAGCAGCAAGATAAGGAAAATGGAGTTCAAAAAAGCAGATTTTAACAAACTCAGAGAACTGGTAGGTGAGGTCCCATAGGAAGAAAATCTAAGGGATAAAGAAATTCAGGACAGCTGGCAGTTTCTAAAGGAGACAATATTAAAAGACACAACTGCAAACTATCCTGATGCAAAAGAAAGATAGGAAGAATAGTAAGAGGCCAATATGGCTCCAACAGGAGCTCTTTAATTACCTGAAAATCAAAAGGAAATCCTACAAAAAGTGGAAACATGGACTAATTGCTATAGAGGAGTAAGAGTAGCACAAGCATGTAGGGACAAAATCAGAAAGTCTAAGGCACAAAATGAGTGACACCTAACAAAGGACATCAAAAGGCAGCAAGAAGAGTGTCTTTAAATGCATCAGGAGCAAGAGAAAGACAAAGGTAAGTTTAGAACTTCTGTTCAGTGGGGAAGGAGAGCTAATAACTGATGACATCAAGGAAGCTGAGGTGTTTAATGCCTATTTCGCATCACTTCACTAAAGACATTAATTGTGACCAGATACTCAACACAAAAGACGGTTACTCACCGTTGTAACTGTTGTTCTTCGAGATGTGTTGCTCATATCCATTCCATTAGGTGTGTGCGTGCCGCGTGCACGATCGTCGGAAGATTTTCTACCCTAGCAACACCGGCGGGTCGGCTGTGGAGCCCCCGTAGAGTGGCGCCTT